GGCTCCCCCAGCCGTCTGAGGCTCCTCAGAGCCTGCTACAGAGCCAGAAGCACCCTGCCCTGCCCAAGAGCAGTGGGTTTTCATCTTTTTGGATGCAGAGACCTCTCTGAGAACCTTATGAAAGCTATGGTTTTATATGAAATGTCCAAGAGTTAACGGACCCCCTGAAATCTCTCCATGGAGCCCTGGGTAAGAGCAGCTAGCTTAGAGGGCCTCATCAGGGAGGGTGGGGTTTCTCTAGGCAGGCTCACAGGTCAAGGGCCTTTTTGGGGTCCCTGTCTCTGGGTCTTTAATTGGATCTTTAACTGGACTAAGCAAGCTCTCTGAACATTCTGATTTCAAGATGTCATCAGACAGTAGAGGGACAGAGGGGTCAAGCCTTCCAACTCTGCCCCTTCTGGCACTGCCACGCCTTCGCAGAGCTCAGCTCCACAGGGCCACGGCACCGAGGTATGGGCTGCAAGCCTCTTGTGGCATCTGAGGCTCAGGGAGCTGGCCTCCCTCTCTCTTAATGGGATCCCACTCAGGACCATGCGGCTGAGGCAGGAGAGAGTTAAGCTTATAGCTCCATGGTCTATTCTCTGAGTTTATCCTCCAAACCACTTGCTCGCTTGCTCGCTCTTACCTGCCATCTGCACTGTGGCCCCCTGGCTTCCCTACCAGGTAGAGGCTCGAACGGTCCACCTTGCCACTCAGCAGAGAATGGAGGTTCTGAAAGGAGGCAGCTTTTCGATGTTGGTGAGGGGGTGACACCTAGTGGTAAAGATCCAATATTGCAGGTGAGAAAAGCCACCTGCCAAGGGCCTGACAGCCCTGACCCCAACCATGAACCTGAGGGCCCTCTAAGAAAGTAACGGTATGAGTTTTTGTCATTACTTCGAAGTGTTCAACAGGCATCTCCATAATTTACTCGAGTTAGATGGGCCTACACAGGTGATCTGAATCTTTATTGTTTGGTTTTTTTTTTGGCTGAAATAACTTAGCATTATAATATTAGGTATCTCATTTATTAAGAAAATCTAATTTTCTCATTAAGAAAAAAAGTCAAAGCAAATAAATTATAGAATAACTACAATTTTAGAGGTAACATCTTAAATATGTTTTTGTGATTCTTTTATGATCACTTACATTCAAAAATTTTTATCTAAGTGTGCACCTTAAAACATTGGGAATAAAAAGATGGAAAAGACAAAATGTGAGAACCTTGGGAGTTTTCCCCAGGGATGGGAGTGAGCGCAGAGACGTTCAAGGCCCTACGCGCAGTTGTAAGCGCTTGGCCGAAAGCGCGAACCATGTGCAGGGAAGCAGGCAGAGACTTCGTTTGGCTTAGGAGGTTTGGGGACACGAGTGGAGCTGACACCTGAGTGAGGCTTGAAGCGTGAACTCTCCAGGTGAAGACAGAGGTAGGGTGCTCCAGGAAGAAGAAACAGCTGATGCAAAGACATGGAGGGACTACAGAAAGCATGGTAGGTTCTGGAACACACCCATGGTCTGGGAGGGTAGGCTGCAGAAGTGATGGGAGATGGACTGGAGCCGGGAGCCAGCCCTGGAAGGACAGCATATGGCCCGCTAAGGTGCCCCTGAGTGATGTTCATCAGAAGAGTTACAAGATCAGACCTGTATTCTAGAAACGGACCCAATGAAGAGGCCATTCTAAAGGTGGGAGGTGGGAGCGATGGAGACGGAGGCAGGGAGAAACAGACTTTCAAACAAATAATGACATGTATTCTGTTTGGAATCCATGCTCTAAAGAAGTAAGGCATATGATCAAGAAACTTAAGAGGGGGGCCTGACTTGCATCAGAGTTTAAGAAGGCTTCCTGGGAGAAGTCATGCATGACTCAGATCTGAAGGACAAACAGGAGTTCCCTAGGGACAGGGGAAAGGGGTGAGGGGAGGAGAGCCTTCCAGGTGCAGGTTCATAGGTCACAGAGCCACGGCCACAGGAGGTCGTGTGTGAGAACAGGGCCACTGCCCACTCAGCAGGGCAAACTGAAAACCAAACTGCTGCAGCATCCACCCACCCTCTCGGCACACACACCTGGCAGCACAAGCCTGACAGGAAGTAGCGCGCTCTGCACTGTCATCAACATTTCTTCTTTTTCCAGTTCCTGAACGTTTTTTTCTACTGCTCAGGCCTCCTGCACTTGCTCCCACCCCTTCTCGGCCAGCCTGCTTTCTTACCTTTGCCCACTCAGCTTACATTGCCGACAATGCCTCTACTGCCCTAACGTCGTTGTCACATCCCTTGAGGGGTTGACAAAGACCAAAGCTCTGAGGGCAATGCACCCAGGTGCCCTGGTTCAGACCCATAGGGGATAAATCTAACGTTAAGAGGAAAGTGAATTTCTGGAGTGCAGTGTCACTAGAGGCTCCCCTTCCGAGCTTATGATGGCGTTGCCTTCCATTCACTCATCCAGCAAATACTTAACTGAACACTGATCACGTACCATGTAGCTCCTGGTGCCAGGCAGCCGGTGGGCTTTCCATTCAGCCTGCATTCTCTTCCCCACTTCAGCCTGAAAACGAAGGCTCCAATGCCCCAAACCACAATCACCTACTTCGTGCTGCCCAGGGGAGGGGGCAGGGAACAGAAGAACAAACAATACCTGAAAACGCCTGGACCAGAACAGCGTTTTCAGGAGGCTGGCTGAGAGCCATGAGCTTGGGACGGTCGGTCCTCCGGCGCGCGGGGAGGCCGCACTGCCCTCACTCCTTCCCGCTGTGTACCGAGTGCGTCTACCATACTCGCCATCGTGCTCAACATCGGGAACACAGAGATCAGTGGTGCTTCCTCAAACACTCACACTCCAGCGAGGGGAAACAGATCAACATCAATTAAAATACTATGTGCCAAGTCTCACGAAAGAGGGAAGCCCAGGATGAGATGGGCACACAGAGCAGAGGCCCTCAGCTGAGCCCAAGGAAGGGCTGACAATGGCTGAAGTGTCGATGGATGAGCCGGCATTAGCAGGTAGAGAAGCTGGGAGAAACGTTTCAGGTGAAGGTTCAGAGTGAGACAGTGTGTGGCCTGATTACAGAACTGCAAGGTCAAGGATAACGGGGATCGAGTGGTGAGAGACGGAAGCAGATCACAGAACCCTTTGGCCACATCAAGTGATCTGAGCTTTATCCTGAGGGTGATGAGGGGCCAGTGGCCGGTGGTGAGCAAGGGGGCGGCAAGGCCAGATTGGCTGATCAGAAGGACTACTCTGGAAGCGACAGGGAAAGTCAGGGATCAGCAGGGATGCCCGTCAGGAGGCCGCTGAGGTAACCCAGGTATAAAGTGATTTGTGCTAGACTAAGAGTCACTGAGGCCATGAAGAAGGTTCTAGAATGACCAGGCAGCAGACTCCAGGTCTTGGTAGAGGTGGCAGAGCTGAGGGAGGGATCTAAGATGAGCCCAGGCAGGGGGAGCTGGTGGAAGAACAGAAGGATGGGGTGCTGCTACCCACACTGTGTCCACGGGAGTTCAAGCCGCAGGGATCAACTCGCCTCCACCTTGGCCGCCTGGGGCGGCCTCCTCTGCACTTGCTTTCTCCTGTCACCTTTCACTCCAATGGTGGCTGCACCACCACTGGCCTCACACACCCCTCGGCTGGGCCCGTAGGACTCACCAGATGCAGGCATTGTAACGATGGGGCTCTCTTCACCTTGGGGGTGCTGGTGTGTAAAGCCGAGCCAGGCACCGGGGGCTGCAGCTGCTCCACACTACAGCTGCGGGACTTGCCCAACCTGGGCCGTGTGCCCTGGCCCAGGGCCAGGAAGAGCTTTTTCAGCCCCAGGGTGGAGGCGATGCTGCCGTTGCTTTTCTTGTTCCTGTCAGAAGGGGCAGCTGAGGGCGGGCCGGGTCTTGCACTGACCCCCGGAAGTGCTCTGAAACGCAAGGGTGGACATGAGGTGGGTGGGAGACGGCTGGGGGAGGCGAGAGCGGGCTGCACCTAAGGGTCCCGGGGGCCCCAGGTGGGCCAGCACCAATGCCGCGCGGAGGAAGCGACAGTCAGGCTGCAGAAAGAAAGGCCGAGTGGACTTCTGTGGGATAGTCTGCTTAGGTAGCTTTTAGAAAGAACAGCTCAGGCAAGACGCTTGGTGTCCCTCTCAGCTGCGGGGTCACCCAATCATTTATTCATCCACTATTTCTTGAGAGCCTCTTCCAGGCATCTGAGACATGTGGTAAACGATGCAGGTAAGTGGTAAACAAAACAGACAAGGTCCTTACCCTCAGGAGCTTATAAACAGCAGACTAGGAAACACAGCAAGAAGCCACCAGTGACCGCTGAGTGGGGTGAAGCAGGGAGTGATAGGGCGGCCAGCACAGGCCTCTCTGAGAAGATGATAATTTACACTGAGAGTTAAATGCCAAGAAGAGGCCAGTCCTGCTAAGCTAGGAGGTGAGAATTCCAGGGTGAGAGAACAGTTGGCACCGCAGCGCCAGGGCAGGCAGAGGCTCGGTGCATTCAAGAACATAACGGGGCCAGGCCATTCGGACTTGGATGTAACGAGCGAGGAGGAAGCAGGCGCCAGGTGAGGTCACACAGGCAGGCCGAGGCCCGAGTACACTGAGCACATAGTCCATGGTAAGGGTTTGAGTTCTAGCCTGAGAGGAAAAACCACTGAGGGGTTTTAAGCAGAAGAAATGAAGTTTAATTAAGGTTTTAAAAAGATGCCTTTGATTACTGTGTGGGGAGGGTACTGGAGCGGGCAGGAGTGACAGCAGAGAGCACGTGGCCTCTTAGAGTCGTACAGGAAGAAGGAACGCAGCTTAGGCCAGGAGAACCGCGGTACAGCTGGCCGCAGGAGCTGGAGAGGACTGGCTGGGGGTTAGGAGGCGCAGAGAAGGAAGAGGGAGCCGCCAAGCTGACATCCAGGTTCGGAGCATGAGCGCTTTGTGGGCAGTTGTGTTTGCTGGGAAGACGACCGGGGGAAGCGGCTTTTGTCAGGAGTGACGGAGAATTCAGTTAGGCCTCTCAGCGCCCTTGTGGACACGCCAGGGGAAACGGATGCACGGGTCTGGCGTTCTGGGAAGCGCACAGGGCTGGAGATGGAGACGGCTCTCCGCATGTGCAGCCTGGGGCCACGTGTCACCAGGAATGGTGCGGAGTGGAAAAGAGAAGGCCCAGGCCAGAGGACTGGCTCCCTGAGGCTTGGAGGCCCCGGAGCACGGACTCAGGCCTCACGCTTATGAGAGAATGGATACGTGAATGCGGGCTGTTTGCTCAGCGTCTGGTTGTCACCAAGCCCAGGGCCAGGAGCAAGTCCCCTCACACAGATCACCTGATCCTGGAGCACCTTGAAGGAGGGGACTGGCTGGCCCGCTGTGTCCAGCACAGTGCCTGGAGCTCGGGGCCATTCAACAAACGTTCGGTGAATAAATAATCAAGTACATTAGGCTGGAAAAGGCTGGGAAAGAAATATTAGGGTACCATGCTTAGACATAAGACTGGGAACCCTGCGAGGACTTGGGAGCAGTGAGGTCAGTCACGCTACTTCACCTAGCATCTCTGGGCCGCCACCTCCTACCATCGGGGCTCTTGCTCCTGTCACTCACCGGGACGACGCAGGCACTTCGGAATTCACCTCTGTCCTCTGCAGACCTCCCTCTGGCTCCTGGCTGGACTCTGGCTCCTCAGAGGCCAGGGAAAGGGTGATACCCATGGAGCTGATGGTGCCGACACCTGTGGAGCCGAGAAAGTCCTGGGGTCCTCCTGCAACAATAGCAGACTTCCCGTGTCACTGACCCATGCCCACAGGTCATGGTCGGGGGACAGAACACTCCCAATACAGAGGTGGAAGAGCCAGAGAAGCTGGAGAGGGGCCCCGAGAGAGCAGTGGAGGCAACGGTGAAACCCACAAAGCAGGGATGGGGTCTTACTTAATGCTGTCACCCATCACCCCGGCATAGCATCTGGTATACAGTAGGTGATGCATAAACATCTGTGAAATGAAGGGGCTGCTTGTGACAAGTCATGTCCCTCCTATATCAAGAGACATAGTTGGGAGCAGGGGTAAACTTTGTATTCCTGCGGCATCGATGATGTGCTAGGCAATGCGTTCAACCCTCCCCAGAGATTATTTCATGGGTTTCTAGGAGACAGGTTCTATTATTATCCTTAGGTAACATCAGAGAAGTCTGGAGTGCAGAGGGGTTAAGTGATGTGTCCAGGACCTCCAGGCTAATGAAAGGAGGAACCTCACCTGGGCCTCTGCTCCAGGCCCCAGGAGGTGCAGGCCAGGCTGCCCAGGAAGGTCAGCAGCTCTCAGAAAAGAAGCCTCCCAGGAAGCGGTTAGGGGTAGCCAGCTGCCAGCCTGCAGCCCACCGAAGGAAGGAAACACCTTAGCACGGGTGGGGGGATCTGAGGGCCGGGCCTGCTTCCTTGAGGTTCATGTGAGCCAGGGAGGGAGAGGCAGAGTGTCTGTGTCAGTGTGCAGCATAGGGGGTGGCCAGCACACCAGGGGACGAGGGGGCAGCCATACCCTCTGTAAGGTCACTGTGGCCTGTCGTCTCTGCCCTCTTCCCCTCCACTGTGCTTCCAAGCCCTGAATCCCTCCTGAGCCACCCCAGCCTCAGGGCTGCCAGAGCCGTGGGCACGATAAGGCAAGGCCATGTGGGGCAGGCCTGTAACCTCTGCTTAAGAATGAGTGGCCGAGTTGTCACAACATCAGGGATTTGCCCACAATATGAGGACCCCTTCCAAGGGCAGAAGTGACATCCTACATCCTTTGCCTGCTGAAACCTACCAGCCTGCCCAGCAGGGCCGAGGGGTCTGGGAGGGCTCAGGTGCCAGAGTGCAACCCAAACACTCCTTGTAGGAGCTCTGCCTGCTGGTCACCATGTCCCCTGGACAGTCTGTCGGTGCCTGGCCACAGAAGGTCTCAAGAGCAGAATTTCTACTGCATGAATTCACGTTTGCATTCATTCCCTACAGTGCCGAGTATCGTACCTGGCATGTAACAGGTGCTCAGTCAATACTGAATGAATGAATGGATGGAATGAAGGTGTTGAGGGGAAGTGCCTCAGCCGTGTGATTATCTGGCATTTACTGCTCTAAGCACGTAGTAAACCCTGGAGCTGCTGCCTCTCCCCGCTCTGCCCGTTGTAAAATTCTCTCACAGCCCCGGTTTCCGGCAGCCATGGAGCTTGGAACTTCTGTGTACCCCTCAGGGTCAGAGGCATCACCGCTGCCTCCCCATGCTCTGCCTCTGCAGGCTCATGTTGAACCCTGCACCCAGCCCACAGACCTCGCCAGCTTCTCTTGGGGGCGGGGGGCGGGGCGGGGCAGGGGGACTCTGATGGGCTGTGAAAGTGGTGTGTGACTATGTCATCCATGAAGATGACAGGTAAGAAAAACGTGTGTGAGACCACAGGCCTGGCCTGGGGTCTCTGCTCTCGGGGTGCCCTAGACCAGGGCAATCCCTTACCATCTCCGCAGTTCTCCAGGGGTGCCTCAGGCTCCTGGCTGCGGGCGCCCTTCAGCCCCCTGCCCTCGTGGGCGGCGCCTCCCCAGGGGTCCTGAGGCCCCGCTTCGCTGTTGTTGCAGTTGTTGGTGGACAGGGTCAGCAGTGGCTGACTGACGTTGCGGCTGCAGGACTCCGTCTGTGGGGGGCTGAGCTCACAGGTCATGGGCACTTCACTTCTGGAGGAGGGCAGGGGATTGTCCACAGGCTTTCCCTGGTCCCCTGGCCTGCGAGGCCCAGCCAGGGCTGCCTTCCTGTGAGGGCCAGGTGAGGGGGTTTTCCTGGAAGAGGGTGGAGTTGGCACCCATCCTGCAGGGGAGAGGGAAGCAGGCGGCTGCTGGGCCTGATGAGGGGCCGAGAGCTCTTCCTGATTCTGTTGCAGGGGGACAGTGTCCAGAGACTCATGGCTTTCTATAACCTGGGTTTGTCTGTCTGGCCCAGGGGATGGCAGCTTCATGACGGAGGCCGTGACACAGGCTTTCCTCAACAGCGCCAGGGAATCCACAGGGTGAGAACCCTGATCTCCCAGTCCTGGTCCTGGTGGCCGCTGGGATCCCAGGGAGGCCCTCTTAGCGCCTTGCACAGGAGGCTTCGAGGAAGCATCTTCTCTGGGAAACACAGCCCCCTCAGGCGGGTGTTCTCTGCTTTCTCTTGTCTCATCTGAAACCTCCTTGCGATCAACTCTGGGCAGGTCGTGTGGGGCCCGAGGGCTCTCGGATGGCTCCATTTCAGCCTTCCGGAACCATCTGTGGCCTCCTCGGGGCCTGGAGCCCCGCGGACGCGGGCTGCTGTCTCGGGCTGGGCCGCGGGCCCTGCTGGGCTGAGAGGTCCCAGCCTCCTCGCTGTCGGTCCTGCAGCTGTCCGAGGTGTCCGTGCTGTCCAAGGCAGAGTCCACCTCCTCCGGGTGCACCGAGTCTCCAATGTGTGTCTCTCGAATCCTTTCGGTGCGGAGCCCCTGCTTGGCAGGGAGGAGTCTGAGGGGGGCGCTCAGGCCGCCGGAGCTAAGGGGCTCAGCCGACAATCCCTCCAGCTCAGAGGCAGCCTCGCGCTCCTGGAGGACCCTGGGGTGTTGGGCTGCCTTGCCCTGGACAGGGCGTCGGTCCTCGATGCAGCTGCCGCAGGCTCTACACGTCCTCTGGCTGCTCCGTGTGGGCGGCGGCGCCGGGAGGACCCCCTGGTCCAGGTGGCCCACAAGCCTGTGCAAAGCCCCTTCGCCGGCCTCCCTGCGCTGGAGGCCCCCGGCGATGTAGTTGGCAAGCTCGGGCTTGGAGCGCAGGGGGCCCTGGTCCCCCGTCTGCAGCGCGGGGCTCAGTACCTGGCGCTGGCGCTGCTGCAGCCGCTCCAAGTAGCGGGACTCGGCCTCTCGGGCAGACTCGTCCTCGAAGCGGACGTGGGACGGGGAGGGGCCCCGCTTCGGCCACTGCCCACCGCTGGACTCCCCGCTGGAGGAGTCGCTCGTGCTCCCGTTCCGGAGCTGGTCTCTGCGGGCAAAGGGCATCCTCCGGTCTGGGGCCGGGCTTCTCCCGCCGTCTCTGATGGGGAGACAGGAGGAGAGCGGTCACAGGTAGAAGGCAGGGAGGAAGGGGCTCTACGGCGCCCCGTCATGAGTGACGACGACCCCAGAGTTACCTCAAATCAGGTTCCTGGGGAGTCAGGCAGCAAACCCGAGCAGCTTACAAGCTCATCCTGATCCCGAGACACAGCCTGAACAAAGGCAACGCCACCTTCTTTATTGTGTCTTTGCCTCTTGTTGCGGGCTCAGACTGAGTTACGATGAAACATTAGTAAACTCAGGATTGCACGAAGAATGACACCAAAGTCCTCCTGGGGTGTGTGTGTGTGTGTGTGTGTGTGTGTGTGTGTGTGTGTGTGTGTGTGTGTGTGTGAGAGAGAGAGAGAGAGATGGGGAGGGGAGGGGAAGAGAGTAAGTGAGCCTGGCCATCATGACATCTGCTAACAATGAATTGTGGCGATACTGTATTTGCTCAAAAGGTTTAATGGGGCGAGTGTACGAGTCTCTACAGAGACTGTGTGGATCTGAAGTTGGGGTTTCTTGTTCTCACTCAGGGTTCCTAATCATCTTGCTTAGACAAAACTCTGACTGTGACGGACGCGCTGGATGTTCCGCCTTGTCTGCTCGCTCGCCCCTTCCCTGTACCTGCCCCTCCCTGGCACCTTACACACCTCCTCATCCTGAACAGCGGGGACAGGAATGACTGTGCCAGGAAGAGTCCCCGCACTCTGTTATCAACTTTTGCTCTGGGAGACACTGCGGCTGGGGACAGTGCAGAAAGGTGCACGGAGGATTTGGGGGACGAGTGCAGAGCAGACAAACGAGACACTTCAGCAGCGAACAAAGAGCACCCCGCCAAGCTTCTCGGGCTGAGGCACAGCACAGGCCTCAGCATTCCTCCGGCCTACACAGGACTCCGCGTGGCTCAGAACCTGGACTTGAGTGGCCCCATGGGATGAACGGAAGACCCCCTGCTAGAGGCCCACTTCCTACAGCAATGCTGTCCTAATCACACAATCAGTGGGACCCACACAAGCCCTACAGCCACTCTCTGACACAGGACAATGGCACTTATGGTGTCACCTCCCAGGCTCTGCATCTTGCCGATGTGTTTGTTCTGCCCTCCCTGGATTAGAAACAACAACCTAGGTGTGTGCCTGTCCCCAAAACAGCAAGAGCCTGTGCTTCCAAGAGCTGCTCAATATCTACGTCGATTTGTTTCCAGAAAATGCTGCCTCTTTGCCTCCTGGAAAAGCCTGTCTGTCTGTTCAGACGTGCCCCAGCCGCCCCCACACCTAGGATAAGGAAGGCCTCTGGAGACAGCTCTGCAGCCCCGGCTCTCCCATCAGCTTTCACCAAACTGCTCGTTGGAAGCGGTGATGCCTCCGGGCTGGGGAGGGTTGGGGGGGCTCCTGTATCTAACTGAGGCCCAGGGCCTGTGTGACATCTCCACATTAACTCCACGTGGCTCTCCAGGGTGATCTGACGAGCGTAACCTTTAGAAGCATCTGCAGCAAGCATCTGGCGGTGATTTTCAGCTCTGCCCTCTCAGGACTCACCCATGCTGCCAAATCAAAGTAATTCTTTTCTGGACACAGCAGCTGCTAAAGTGGGTCACCTTGCATTTCCATAGCATTTCTACAGCCAGGGGACAGCCTGACAAAGGGGACCCTACTTTAAGGTGAATGACTGGGGTTGTTGCGAGCTGCTGACGTGATATAGGGGAGAGGAAGCGTCCAAGAGTAACTTTATACAATCGAGTCGGTTTGGCAGGTCTGCTTGCCTATTTTGAGCTACCCAACCTCACCTACATAGCTACGGACAGTGGAACAGGAGGGTTCTGTGGAAGTCTGAGGCTCTGGGCACCATACACAGGCAGAGAACAGTTAGGATGCTCCAAAGAAGCCATGCTCATTCCTAAGGAGTGCCCTCCAGCCAGAAGGAGACGAGGCACAAAATGTGGGAATAAAAGGGCAGCGAGTTTGGCCCCCCTTGCCAGGGTATAGGGTCTCCTGAGCCCCTCTCCTAAGGGTCACACTGACATTGAACACAGAGGCAGGCTGCAGCCCTCTGCTCGTGCTAGCGTCATCTCAGTGGTGCTGTGCAGGTCCTCAGCCTTTCAAGAGTGGGTTCAGCATCTCCCATCAAAGAGCAGATGGTCCAGTTCCACTGAGAACCCTCGCTCCCTTTGTGTCATGTGGCGATGGAACCCAGCAGGCCCAGCAGGCCCACTGCGCCAAGGAAGCCACAGGTTTTGTCAGCTGCACAGATGGGCAGTTTGTCCTGTTCGAGCCTGGTGCAGTTTGGCATGGGCTGGCAGTGTCACCTCAGGCCCAGGTGTGCCAGCTCTGGTGTGGTGGCCTCCATGTGTAAGTGGCTCCTGCAGGGAACCGTACATAGAACAGGCACAACGATGGGCATGGGATGTCACTCAGGGAGCAGCCACGCGTGGAAAGTGCTGGTCTGGATGTCCTTGAACTTGTTCCTTTCCCATCTCTTCACCCCTGCTGCACTCACCCTCACCCATGGCTCCAGCCTCGTGAGATCAGGGGAATGACCAAATCTGGAGTTCTGACCTCTCTCCTCTTCCACAGAGCCTGTATCCATCTCCCTGATGAGAATCCTTAGCAGAGGTTTGGTGGGCAACCCCCTCCAAAGCCTGGCCCCTCACCTAAGCTTCCCTCCTTGGCTAAGGTCCCACCCAACCTTCAGACACCAAGTCACAAGCCCGGGCTCCATCCTGGATGTCTCCCCTCTCACACGCCCCACATCCAGTTAATTACAGGAGTCCCCCCTTAGCTGTGGGTTCGCTTTCTGTGATTTCAGTTACCGGCGGTCAATGTAAGTCCGAAAATATTAAATGGGAAATTCCAGAAATAAATTGTGCGTCATTCTGAATAGTGGGATGAAGTCTCGTGTCACTCTGCTCTGTCCCACTAGGCACATGAATCGTCCCTTTGTCCAGCGTCCCCACGCTGCATACGCTCCCCGCCCATCCGTCACTCAGCAGTCCTCTCCGTTACCAGAGCAACTATCATGGCATCACAGTGCTTGTGTGCAAGTTCCCCTTATTTTACTTTACTTAATAATGGCCCCAAAGTGCAAGAGCAGTGATGCCGACAGTTCAGATATGCCAAAGAGAAGCCGTCAAGTGCTTCCTTAAGTGAAAAGTTGTGTGTGTAGGAAAAAACAGTTTATGTAGGCTTCAGTACTATCTGAGGTTTCAGGCATCCACTGGGGGTCTGGGAAAATATCTCCTGCTCATAAGTGGGGGACACCCGTAAATGATTAATACCAAGAGGTAACACTCACAGAGTACTACTCACTACGTGCCAGGTGCTCTTCTAAACACTTTACCTGTATTATTATAACTCATATAACCCTCACAACAACTCTGTAAGACAGACACTGTAATAATTCCCATTTTGCAGATGAGGAAACTGAGGCCCTGAGGCTTCCCCCAAAGGCACGCAGCTAATAAGTGGCAGAGCCAGAATTCAAGCCCAGTCTTCTGCTTCCAGAGTCTCTTAATCATGTCTCTGCTGCCTCATCAAACCTGCTGACTTCGGGCTCTTGGCAGTCTCTTAGCTCTACACCTTCCTCTTTGTCACATCTCACCAGGACCATGGTGCCGCCTCCTCTCTGCCCCCAGCCCCCAGATCCAACAATCCCTGCAGCCAGAACAGCTTTCTCGAAACGCAAATGTGATCATGCTACGCACCCCCTTAAAACCCTTCGGTAGGTACTAGCTGTTCCAGGCGACATGCAAATTGTCCAGCTGGCCTGGAGGCCCCCACGCCTGGCCTCCACGGAGCTCTCAGGGCTTCACACCATGCACCCGGCATTACTCACGGTTTCTGCCCTAGATGCTCACCCCTGCCCCTCACCTGCCCAGTGAATATCTACATCTCCTCAGCCCCAACTTAGAAGCCACCTCCTCTCGAGCTGCCCCTGTCCTTTGCAGGCGGAGCCTCAGGGTTCCTGCCCTAAATACGCACCTTCCCTCTCCGAAACCACAGCCCACAGGATTGTGTTCACTGTTTGCCTGTCTTTCTCCCTGGTGACAGGGACCTCTGTCTCCCCAGGGAGCTTGGGTTATGTTTCATTCACCTGCAAATCATAAATGCCTCTGTACAGGCGCGTTGACCAACTAACGGAATGAAAGCAAGCGCCTGATGTGGGAAGCACACACACACAGGCCGACGGGAGCAGTGAGCAGTGGCATTTTGGCTGGGTCCCATCTCCTCCCTGCCACAGCCCTCCCAGGCCAGCCTGGCCCAGGCCCCACTCACCGGCTGCCCTGGGCCATGGTGGGCACGATATCATGGCTGGCACGGAGGGGCCGGGGCCTGGCTTTCATGCGGGCACGCTGCAGCAGGTGCTTGGCTTCCTCATGCCTGGGGCTCCTCAGCGCGGGCTCCGGCTTGGGTCCAAAGGTCCTGCAGGGTGGCACACAGACCAGAGTGGGCAGCGGAGGGATTAGAAGAAAATAACACGGATTAGGAGGGCTTTAACAGTGTCGAGCACGGCTGTGCCAGGAGGAGCCCTGCATGTGCAGCCTTCCTCGGCCAGCTCCCACACAGAGGGCGCCCGGCTGAGGGCCTGGGGCTTGGGGCCTGGCCCTGAGCGGCTCTGGGCAGGGCTACGGAGCTGGCCCATCTTGGACATCTGCTCAGGGACCAGAGGCAGAGACCCCAGCAAGATCTAGAAAGGGAGTTTCCACATTATTCTATTGTTCTTTCCCTGGGCAGACAGAGGGAGTTTTCTGGAGGGAGGGACAGAAAAGGGCCCGGGTTGCCGGGTTGGGCCTGTGCCCAGCCAGATGGTCTTTACACGCATCACCTCCCTCTTTCCTTCTGTCTCTTTGCACCCACACATACCCACTCAAGCTCACCCAGCACCACCCTGCGCTCCCCCCACAGACACAAGGACTCAGGGCCCTGCCCACTGCAGCTCTGCTCCTTGGGGGAATGACATTTTTATAAGTGCTGCTGTTTTTCTGCCTCAGTCCCAATCCAAACCCTCCAGGTAGCCACTGAGGTCCGAGAGACATCGAGCTGAACCCACACCAAGTCAGCAAATGGCTCGATTTTCAAAATAATAAGGGTTCTCTACCAGCCCTCACCACCTACATATGTGCTGTCTCCCCGGCCAGTCCAGAGTTGCAGAAAATGACAGCAGCCCTTTTTCAAAGCTGTCTCCTAGACAGTGACATACAGCCAATGCCAGGTTACAGCAGTCACAGCAGCCTCACAGCCTCCTACTGACAAGATGTTTCTCTCCACAGAGCTCATGCTCCCAGCCAGGCTGGCCGAGGGCAGGTGTTCTCTGCACTTGACAGATGAGGGTGTGCCGGAGCAGAGAGGCGCACTTGGCACATTGCTCAAGGTCGAACACCAATTGAGAGCAGAGCAGACAGCAGCCAGCCCCACTGCCCCCAGCACCCTTCCCACATCCTGTTTCCGCTACTTCCTGGGTCCCAGGGCCGGCTGAGGATGTTTGTGGCTGGAGTCAGACGCACGCTTTGATGTGACTTCAGCATCCTCTTTGGCTGCTCCTTGTCCTCGCTGTCACATACGCTGGGCTGTCCTCACCAGGGAGGGTCCAGTGGAAGAGCTCAGGCAGGGAGACACTCAGCAGGGCCTAGATCTCAGGCTGCTGCCTTACCCACCCCATATGTCACCTGGAGAAAGGGGCCCTGAAAAGTAGTTTTCTGGATGACAGATGACAGACATGTGAGTGGCACAACTCTGAGGCCTCCTTGGGGGATCCTTGGACAGTCTAGGACTTTTTTTCCTTCCTTCTTCCCTCCTTCCCCTTCCTTCCTTCCTTCCTTCCTTCCTTCCTTCCTTCCTTCCTTCCTTCCTTCCTTCTTTCCTTCCTTCCTTCTTTCCTTCCTCCCTCCCTCCCTTTGCTCTCATTCTCACTCTCGCTCTCTCTTTCATTCTTTTTCTTACTATTTGTACCTAACTCTGCTTTGGAGCCCAAGGGGTAAAAAAAAAGAACTGCTAGAATAAAGGCGCCATCTGTGCCTGTGAACCCTGGCAGGGCTCAGGCACAGTTTTGGAACCAGGAGGGTTGACTGGCGTGATGTGAGCGTGAGTCCCCAGGCCTGCTGCTCTGTGAAGCCTCCTTTGGCAGGAGAGACATCCCTTTGCACAGCTTCCCAAGCAGGCAGCTCCTCCAATGCACTGCTGAGAGCAGCTGTGCTCCCTGGGGCTCCTGCTCCGACAGCAGAGATAATGAGGTTACCAGCCCGGAGAGCTGCCCCTGCAGCCGGGGGCCTCTGGCTGCTAGCCCGCACACTCAGAGCCTTCCAGTGACAGCTGTGGTTCCCCGGCTGTCGGAGGGCATTTGTCACAAGACCTGGTGGGCAGGCAGGAGGGCCCCAGGCAGCTGGCCTGATGCTTCCAGGATCGGCCTTGCCCCAGGTTTCTAAGCCATATTCCAGCTCTGCTGTTTCCTTTCTCTCCCTCAACTTGGACCTGTTAAATTTTTTTTTTTTCCCCATCAGCTGCCCTGCTTTGGTTCCTGGCAGACAAAGCTGGTTTCTCCACTGATTAGAAAAGCAGGGCTTTGTAGGTGCTTGGAGTAAACAAACTGAGCAAGGGGGAGAGTGGCAGTCACCTTCACAGATGGCGGCCAAGGTCAGCAGGACAGGAGACTCCTAGTCATGGCATACGCTGGAGCGGGCAGGCCCTGAGCAGCCCTGCGGGGGAAGGGAGCCTTTTTCCCAGGAGGCAGGCTCATGCAGGTGCAGCGCAGTGGGGCGATGAGCCTGTCCCACTCGAACTGCCTGTCTCCCGTCGCTGCATCCAACCCCACCGGCAGATGGCTTTAGACTTTTCCATCTGAGGGAGCCTTTCCAGTCTAATCTGATCTGGCCTCTGCCAAGGACACACAGCCCTGGAGCCAACACCTTCCCATCAGGGGCCATAACCCACAATCCCAGCTCTCACAGTTCCTCTGGAAGTTTCCTGGAAGGACTGGGGCAGTTAGTGCATGGTTAGGCAAAGGCAATTTCACCTAAGAAAAGGCAGCTTTTGCCACTCTGGAAATCTTGCACATCTGGGGCTCATTTGCCCAGCAGGTAGGGCGTACAGATCAAGTGGCTGAGTGCTTTCCCCTCCCCGGGCCTCAGTTCCCCATCTGTGAACAGCAGGAATTGGGTAGGGTAGGGGACTCAGCACCCTATGAATCTGGGCATTTGGCCAGGTAGCCTGGTGTACCCCAAGGTAGGGTGAGGGACTCTGAGGTCCTCTCCTTGAGGTGGGGGGGTGTTCACACCACAGATGTTTGGCCCTCAAGGCGCAGCAAACCCTACAAAGACCTAACTATTAGGGACAACTGGAGCGCCACGCGAGTGCTCTGGCCCTTCTCTCTGCCCTTTCAGTCACCAGAGTCCTAAACTGCTTCCCCGGGACAAAGGGTGGCATGTGGGCCCCTCCCCTCTGGCCTCTCCATCTAAGCCAATTTCCTGGTGGAGGGACAGGCTTAGCCCTGAGCTCAGCTCCCCTCATAGACAGGCAGGTCAAGATCTCAAGTCAGAACGACCACCATTTCTCTCCTAGCCAGGGAGGTCAACGGGACAGAGTGGTCTCTTTCTGCAGCCCTTATAAACCTGGATTAAAACAATAAGCTCCAGCAAGTCTGCGTGTAACCTTTTCATCCCAGGAACAGGAATTAGGGAAATAATTTGGGATGTAACGTGACCTCACACTTCCCAGATTCCAAGATGCAGCAGGTAGAGGGAAAATATATAGTGTCTAGAACATACTATATAAACCTTTTTGCCTAGCGTTTGTTCTATTTTTGTATATTATCAAGCCTTTCGATGACCAAGGAAAGAGCTCTCCTGATATCATAGTGTGTGCAATTTCCTGAGTGAGAAGAGAAAAGGAAAGCCCAGAAATTTTTATTCTCCCCAGGGCTGCGGGACACTGACAGGACAGAGCTGAGAGCAGTGGGTCTCATTCTGGATGCAACTTACCAGCTGTGTCACCCTGACAGGCTCCTTAGGGGTTAAGCCCCAGTTTCCTCATCAGCTAACTAAAGGCTCAGTGATTAAGTGAGGCTGATTCCCTTAAAAGAGGTTAGCACAGAGCTGGGCATTTGGTAAGATTCCAAGGTTAGCATTTATTATTATTATTATTATTATTATTATTATTATTATTGCTGTTAGTATTAGCTCTGTTTCAGGGCAGAGAGTTTTGACTGCTGCAATCCCAACAGGGACCCCAAGATTAGGACCCACCAAAGTGTGAGCAGCTGTGGGCTGGCCCTCTACTGGTCCCTCTCTTCTCATGAAGAGGTGTGCACGCTGAAGACTGGGCTCTGTATCTAGAAAAGGGCATGATTCTGCCACAGGGATGAGGCAAATCAACACCCTAGGAGACCCTCCGGTCTTCCTTCATCATTATAGCACATATAAAAACATGCTCTCCAAGACCTTCTCTGCTCTATTTTTCCCCCAGCAGAGCAATAATTAAAGCCCTGCAGATACTCGGGTGGCCCCACAATCTCACACAGAAGGTCCTGATTTGAACCAGAGCAGCCGGGTCACAGCACTGCCTCTGGAACGACTGCCAAGGAAGGGCCTGTGAGCCTCAGGGGGCCGGTTGCCCTGTGCTCACAGCAGCTGACGAGACGCTAATTTCTGCACACTGACTTCCTTGCGTTGAGGGACCCCGGGTGAGCATTGCTTTGACGGCTGCTGCTCCTCTGGTTTCACACACTTTTTGCTCAAGCTGGGTTAATTTGGGATCCCGAGGCCATCTGTAATCCGATTGTCAGATTACCTCGAATAGGGAAGAGGCCGAGCTGGCTGTGGTCATTTTACAGGCTCAGCGGATGAGACACCCACAGGGTTGCTAAGAATGGATGAGGGCTGAGACTGAGCACAGCACTCCGTGTCACTTTCCTCCCCTCTCCTGTCTCTAAGGCATCAGGTCCCCGGCACCCCACAAACAAGGCCACTGAAAACCCTGGGCCCGCTTTGCCCTCCCTGCAGTGCTCACCTCTCATCTCATTCTCTACCCCCAAATGAAAACTCCATTTCCTGAATCACGTCAACAGTGATTTAGGAGAGAAACAAGCTTACCCAATGGCGCCTGTCACTTACCCTCCTTTGCCTAAACCCGAGAACAGCAGGGTGGGGGAGGCAGAAGGCCAGACCCCTAACTCAAGGACTGGCCTGTGGGGGCACAGCGAGACGGCTTGTGGAAGTGCGGCATAAGGGTTAGAGCACAGACCTTGGAGCCAAATAGCTCTCATTGTGATTTCTGGCTCCAGCACTTAGTAGCAGTACGACCCTGGGCGAGTCACTTAACGTCTCTCCCCAGAGGGGTCTCCCTGTCAGTGAAACAGAAACAACAAATGAGATAAAATGAGAATATGGGTACAGCACGTAGCACAGTGCTTGGCACATCACCATGGCTGCAGAGTGGCAAGGCTGGCATGGTCTTCTAGAAGGAAGGAATGGGCACAGGATGTTCCGGCTCTCTAGGACCAAGACTTCTTTGGGTCCTCAGTAGAGGGGACAACCCCGGGGTTGGGGGAGGGAGGTTGCCTCTGCATGTGACCCTAAGCATTTCGGGTCCTGGGGCATTTCTGGCGCTCCCTTGGCATCTAGAGGGTCTTGCTTCCATGGGTGCCTCTTCCTGTGACTGCACCCCAACAAGCTGGGCCGGTCCCCCCAGTCAGACAGTAACTATGGAGCTCTGCGGTCATCGTCGTTTCCCGAGCGTCTTGTTTTATCACCATGCAGAGCAGTAACACTTGTGGACATAATCAGATACATGTTGAGTAAATCGGTCAAAATGGTTATTTAGCTGCAGTGCTAACCTGCACTGATGCTAAACTTGACTGAGTGTAAAGCAGGACTTTTCACGCCTCCAACCCCAAGAAGATCTGAGGGGCTCACTGCCAAAGCGTGTCCTGAATGATGTCCCAGACCCCTTCATGGTGGCCATCACGATGCATGGCCATAGCCTCAGAACACTGTGCCAGGGTCCCAAGCCCCTTAGTACAGACGCTAAGTCCCAGGACCCTGCTCACATGTGGCACTCCTGGGGTACAGAGCTGAGAGAAATGTGCCTTATTTCAAAGGTCTCTTGGGAAGTTCAACTATCCAGAAGTGGCATCAATAAATCTATCCCCTTAAAGCAGAGATGGAGCCCTATTGTGTCTTAGGGACCACCTTTTTAAAAAAATCAAATTAAAACTTTTATATTAGTTTCAGGTGTACAAAAGAACATAATGATTAGATACACCCCTCACAAAGTGATAACACACCCCCAAGTCTACTACCCCTCTGACATCATATATAGCTCTTAGAGTACCATTGACTCTATTCCCTATGCTGTACTTTACATCCTGTGACCATTTAACTATAGTTGCTAATCAATATTATTCTACTTCACTTCAGGCGTACAGCACAGCGGTCAGGCATCTACACAATCTATGAAGTCGGTCAGGCATCTACACAATCTATGAAGTGATCCCTCTGATGATTCCAGAACCCATCTGGCACCCTACATAATCTTTACAACATTATTGATTATATTTCCCATACTGTATTTCACATCCCTGTGACTATTTTGTGACTACCAATTTGTATTTAATCCCTTCACCTTCTCCACCATCCCCCAACTCCCCTCCCATCTAGGAACCATCAGTTTTTTCTCTGTATCTATGAGTCTATTTCTGTTTTGTTTGCTTGTTTATTCTGTTCTTTAGATTCCACGTGTAAGTGAGATCATATGGTATTTGCCTTTCTCAATTTGACTTATTTCACTTAGCATAATACCCTCTAGGTCCATCCATGTTGTTACAAATGGTAAGATTTCATTCTTTTTTTATGGCAGAGTAATACTCCATTGTATAAATATACCACAATTTCTTTATCTAATTGTCTATTGATGAACATTTCGGTGGTTTCCATATCTTGGCTATTGTGACTAGCGCTGCAGTAAACGTGGGGGGGGGGTGTGCATATATTTTTTCGAATTAATGTTTTGGGTTACTTTGGACAAATACCCAGGAGTGGAATTGCTGGGTCATTCTATTTTAATTTTTTGAGGAACCTCCATACTATCTTCCATTGTGGCTGCACCAATTTGCAATCCCACCAACAGCACATAAGGGTTCTCTTAGGGACCACTTTAATATCTGCTCAGAAGACTCAGGAATAGAGCCAAATGAGGTGCCCTGGCTGAGGGGGCCTGGAAACATGGCTGGCCTTTCTCTAATCCTTGCACTAGGTATGTTCTCTGGGTGTGTCTACTCGGCAGGGGCCTGGCTGTAAATCGGCAGTAGAGGTCAATGGGGCACTCTGAAAAACCTTCTAAATAAACCGGAGGACAAAGTTTTCCTCATGTCAGCTCTTTCCTGGATATACGTGGGGCAGAATCCTAAAGCTCACTAAGGCAGCTCTCTCTCACTCATTCGCTCTCTCTCCACACATGTACTCATCCACCATATATATATATATATACACACACACACATGCATACACACCTACACATGCACACACACAGGCCGACACACACACGCACACACGCGCACACACACACCCTGCCTGAACCTGAACATGCTGCAGGTGGCATTCCAGATGAAACAATCGTCCAGAAGTCCCCATTCTGAGGATTCCACACAGGTGCCACCTCCTCGCAGGACTGGGGGAAGTCCCTCCCCACCTCATGGTTGATGCTCTCCTTTAAAACAGGTGTTTCGATTACTTATTATCCAAAATGCCAGTCAGGAGCTTGGGCTCCTCCTTTCAATCGCGACCTCTGGGCGCAATCCCCAGGGGCGGCATCTCGCGGCCTCCAGGGTTCTCTCCCGTCCTGGGAGCAATGGTGTGAAGCAGCAGCTGCAGGGGAAAAAGACATCTCCCAGGACACGAGGTGTCCGGGGCATCTGCCCAAGCCTGTCTCCTCCATGGGCTCCCAGGGAAGGAGGGGAGGAGAGAAAAAAGGGACGAGTGTCACTGAGACCACTATCCTTGCTGCAGTCATGTTCCCCCACACTGTGGCAGGCTGGGTGGGGATGTGAGGAGAGGCGGAAAGCGCTGGCCATGGAGGCAGAGAAGAGGCCCCTGGCAGAGAGAGTCAATGCTGATTCCAAACCGTAAGTAATGAAGGATGAGGGTCCAGACCACCCCTTCTGCGGCTGGCCCTCCCCAGCTCCCTAGGTGGCCAGCAGCCGAGCAGAAGCGGAACCACCTGAGTCTGGACAGCCCTTGCTTGGTGACACACTAAGTGGAATGTATGCAGGGAAGTGGCCTGAACAAGGAGAAGCAACAGTGCTAACCCCTCGCTCAGCAGACACCACGAGGCCGTCATGATGGCGCCGCTGGAGAAATGGGGCCATTCCCCGCTCTGCGCCCTCTCTTAGCTTCACGGGCCTGAAGCCTGGCGCAGACGTAGGCTGCGGCCAGCCTCTCAGCAGACACCAGCGGGCGCAGCTCAGGCCCCCAGATGGTGCTCCCCGCTGCCGCGAGTGTGCTCTTCCCATCTTGCACCCACCATCACCCCAGTGTGGCCCCCTCCCCTGGCACATGGGTGGAGGGGCTAGAGCACAGTCTGTGGGATATCACAATGAGGTCAGAGGAAGGGAGAGCCTTACACGACCCCAGCACACCCCCTCGATCGGGAAAGAAATCGGTGTCGTAGATGCTTTGCATGCGTGTGCTTTCCTTAAGGATTCTCACAGCCAGTATCTCATTTTAGCTTTATGCAGACCTGTGAAGTCACCACACAGATACTGTTCGGCCCACTTTAAAGGTGAAGAGACAGAGGCCAGGCAGGGGAACCCATTCCCAAGAATGCAGAGTGGGTTGTTTGTGATGCTCTTTGCATGTTGCCTCGTGCCCAGGCATTTTTTGCTCAAGCAGCAGGCAGGTCCCAGCCCAGGGCACTGGGTGACTGGCACCCTCTACGCGGCCTCAGGGATGATGGTTGATATTGGCCCACTGTCCTCTGGTCTGCCATTCGGGATCTGTCTGCCCTCGTGTTTTCTCAGGGTCTCCCACTCTCCTGATGCTGCGTTAAACGGAGGGACAATGGCGAGGAAGGAGGGGAATGAAAATGTGCGCTCTAAGCTCTTACCTGTTCTGGTCCGAGTCCTGCAGGGAGATTCCTGAGTCCCAATCCACGTCCCCTGCTGGTCGCTCTAGGACCCAGAACAGAAGCAGAGATCAGGGAAGAGCAAGAAACTGGGCTCTTAGCCGCCACTTAATGAGTGTTGAGGAGAAAGGTTTCTCTAGAAGCCTTTTACTCCCCCAGACAAATCCGCAGCTGCTGCCTGTGTCTTGGCCTGAGAGGTGGAGGCACAACCTGCCACAGAGGCTGCAGGTGGGCAGGGATTGCCATGGGCTGTGGGGCCTGCATGGGTGCTCTCAGGCATAGGAGCTTTTGGGACGGGGAGGAAAGGAGAGAAAGGAGGTGTCTTCTCAGGTCTGAACAATTGCACATCCCCGTAGTGCGACCACCTGAGTTCAGCCCACCCAACAGGATGCTCAAGTATTTTGTGGGGAGGGGTCCACTGGGGGGGGGGTGAGGGCATGTCATTGGAGAGAGGTGCAAAAAGCCACTCTAGAAAAGGGTATAAGCCGCAGAGAAGCAGCCATGGTAGCCTTTACCCCGAAGCACAGAGGGTGGCCTCCCATTGGTATGGGGAGTCATGGGCGTCTTCAGCAGATGGGGGTGGCTGTGAGGTGGTAAAGGATCTATGATTTGGGTGATAAGCAGCTGTGCTCTCCTGCCCCACCCCCTCCATGGTCTCCCCCCGCCTTCCCTTTTTCTTCCCCCTGCACTTGCGCCTGCTGCCCCACCACCCAGACCTACAGAGTAAGCCTCACCTAGTACAGTTCTGTCCCAGGATGGAGTCCAGGTTGGGATTCCTACTTTTGGGGGGCCCTTCCCCGCAACAAGTAACATCTCCTGCAGCAGAAGGCGGTTCCTCTCCACCCGGTCAGATAGGGGCAAGGCGCTGCTCCCAGTGTCCAGGTCTCCAGCTCTCCAGAGCCCTGCCAGCAGGGCTGGCCTGGGGACAAAATCTTCTTTGGAGGTCAGAGACAAGCTGTCCAGGTCTCCCCCTGTGCCTAGACCATCCCAAAGAAGGTATGACCTTCCTTTCCTCAGGTTGGGCGTATGGGTAACTTGGTTACAAGGTCCCGGGCCCCTAGGCCAGCCTGGAGTGACTCTGTGGATGGGGCTCTCTTGCAAAGAGCTGGGACCCAGAAGCAGACCCCTCTCGTGGTCAGGCAGTGCCCACACTGCTTCTGGAGGCCATGGACTCTTCTCATTCCAGCACTTGACCCCAGGGGCAGGTGGCCTGGGAGGTCCGGGGCCGCCATTCCTGGTGGGTTCCTCCTCACTGGCACTGCTGTTGAGCTGCCTGTCAGTCAGGTTCTGAGTACTGAGGACCACTGCAGCACCTGGCAGGGGAGACCCCTCTGATGGGGTCCTGGCTCCACCCGCCTTGACTCGCCGGCATTTGGGTTTTTTTGGGGATGACCGCTCATGGGCAGTGAGTCTGGGGCTTGCCCCCTGTTTTCCTCCTGTCATCTTTTCCTTCAAGGCCCTGACCTTGGACTCCAGCACAGAGGGGCCTTGGAGCTGTATCCCCTCCGATGCCCTAAGAGGCTGGGGGGCCATCAGGCTGGGTGTTCTGTCTTCCTGAGGGCAGGGCCAGGATGTTGGGAGGTGTCCATTACTGGGCTGTGGCTCAGTGCCACTTCTCTCCACAGCTGAGGTCACCTCCATGGAACTGGCTGTTCTGCACCCTGTTTTGGGCCCTCTGGAAGAGAAAAACAGAGAGCGCTTTAATCCCAGGACCTGGCTAGCTCCAACAACCTCTTGGGTCCCCAAAGTACCTTCATATTGTGCCCTGTCCAGATGAGAGTAATTTGGGGACAGAGCAGGGGATACCTTCTAGATGATATAAAACCACTCTGAAAAGTATAAATCATTGGATTATACAAATAAGATATTATTGATTTTTTCTTCCAAGACTGAGTGGTGTTCCAGGTTTTCTATCCCCATTCTACATATGGGGCACATGTGCCAAACAACAACTAATCCTATGCCAAGTGTGGACCAGAGTGAAAAGCTAGGTCAGATGTCCCAATCCCTGGCCTCTTGCATTCCTGACAGGTGGTCTCAGTGACGCTGTGACATCACACAGAAGCTCAGGATCTGACCTTCGGGTGGAAGGTGCCCTGTGGGCCTCCTCTCCCCACTCCCGTCCACAGGACCGCAGGATGGGGCTGTGCTCAAAGGGCAGTCATAATCAGTCACCAAGTCCTACCAGCATCTGCTCTGTGCCAGGCAGGCACGCAAGTGCTTCCAAACACATGCTCTCAAAAAATCCTCACACAATCTGGCCAGAATAGCATTATTATCCTCATGCTTACAGATGGAAAAACTGAGCTACTGTGAGATTATGTCACACAGATGCTAAGGAGAGGCCAGTTTGGATTGCAAAGCTTCTCATTCCAAGGCAGGGGCTCCTCCAAGGTGCTCAGCGATCACTTAACCCTACTCCCCTTATTCTGTAGATGAGAATATACTGTCTAGAGAGGGTCGGTGACTTCCCAGAATGACACAGCTCCTTGGTGGCATGGGTGATGTCATGTGTTCATAGGGAATGAAAGTGAGCATGGGATTTTATTCACCAAGTTGTTCTGTGCACACATGCAGGCCACAATGTCTTAATATTTATCCTGCTCTGGGAAAATGCTCCCTCAACAGCATACCTCTAGATATGTCCCACTTGAAGTAAAAAATCTATACTTATGTAAATTACAAATTAGGAATGAATTATTCACTTCATATGCTGACTTAAAAGATTCACGGTAGACGTCTCTGAAATGGCAAGTCCCTCTGCAGTTGTTTATTACAATTCAATCTATACATGTTTCAGTAATGTACATATTTCATGAAGTAAAATACACACATAGTAGAAAATGTCACCTCAGCTTTAAACCAGTGAAGTTTAAGGGCTGTCTTTAGAAGGCCGAGATCGTTTGCTCCACCAGTGAATCTAGAATGTACCAACTTGCTCTATGCAGCCCAGTCACTGAATCCTCTCTTCTCAAGTGCAATTCGGAGAGCAAAGGATTAGAATGTAATGGGAGTGATTTCAGTTAAATTAAAAGAACTTTCTGGCCCGTAAACGCTGGACCAGTATTCCAGAGATCACCCATCTGGGGAGACCTCAGGGAATGAGAGCCTTTGAGGGGGGCACTGAGGGGCCGTCTGGGGAGATTGCTGGTGCTGCTTGGAGCCCCCCCCCCCCCCCCCCCCCCCCGATTCTAAGGTCCCAGCGCCGTATTTGCTCAAACTCAGAAAGGCTGAACTGAAGATGGATAGACATGAAGGGCGGGCCTCCCCGTCCCGCACCCGCCCCGCTCCGGGCCCAGCACCCGGCCTCCCCGCCAGCCGGCCGGGCGTCTCCCCTCGTCCGTACTCACTGCGGGCCGCCGCCTGCAGCCTCGGCCGCCGCCGCCTCCGTGCCGTCCATCCCCGGGCCGGCGAGCCGTCCGCTAGCCCCCTCTCCCGCCCAGGCCCGGGGTCCGGCCGGGGCCTCCCTCCGGGTCCGGGAAGGGCCGAGGGCCGGGAGGGGCGGGCAGTGGCATCGGCGGCCGGCTCACGGCTGTGCCACGAAGGGGACAGAGGCCAAGCCCGGCGCCCTCCAGGGCAGGGATGGGGAGAGCCAGCGCGGAGCGCGGAAACGGGGGGAGCGGAAGGGGCTGCCGCCGCGGGCCCCCGCGCCGGCCGGACGCCCGAGTCCCGGGGCGCCGCTTCTCCCGCGGCCGGGCTCGGGAACGGTGCCCGGGCCCTGCGCGGCGACGCGGGGCAGCTCGGCGGGGCTGACCCCCCTCGCGGCGGGCGGCCGGCCCGGGGCGGCTGCGGGGAGCCCAGCTGTGCTCCGCCCGGGCAGAAGCTAAGCGAACGGCACGCTCTTCCTGAACTTCGCGGGAACGCGTGTAACTCTACACCCGGGGCCCGGCGGGAGGCTCGGCTCTCCGGGAGGAAGCTAAGGAATGCCCTTTGTTTAGACAGCTTTTCCGGAGGAGTCTTCTGCCCTCTGTGAGGGGACGTCCCCATCAGCCTGGGGACCTCTTCCTCCGAGGTCGAGGTCATGGGTTTCTGCTCTCTAGAGGCAGGAGGGTGACCGGAGTGTTCCTTCACCCTGCCCTGCTAAGGGGAGACCCTGGTGCCTAAGGTGCCAACCTACTGGGGTAGGGACCGGTTCTCAGGGTCCTGGGGACCCCTGAAGAGAGCTTATCCCGTTTTCCAGACCTGGGAGGAAGGAGCAGCAAAAGGCTTCACCCGCAGCTGTGGCCCAAACCCATGGAGCTTGCTTTCTCTTTCCCCCCAGTGGAAGGTGCCAAAGCCTCACCTATTTTCAAACCTATTTTCCCACAAAGGATGGGAAACAATGAGAGTTAGGACCCAGTAGATTGCAGAAATCTCTACAAAGGGAACGTGCTCCTCCATCTCCCCTGCAGCCAGCAAGCTCCTGCTCTCCTCCCGGCACGCGTGCGCTGCAGTCGCCATCTAGATGACAGGCACAGCCACCGTGAGGACCACGCAGTGAGCGAAGCGCGCTTCGGTGTGGAGGCCAAGGCCGTTTCCAGGGGCTCTTGAGTGAGTAGCAGTTCCCCTGCACAAGTTCGGGCATCTGGGCAGGGCCAAAGCACCCAGGTCTGAGAACAGCCGTTTGGAGGGAGCTGTGGTAGACTGGCCTTGGGCTAATTTAGGAACCCGAGGGATTATCTAGGGCAGACCCTCTGCTACAGAACAGGGCCAAGGTCCTACAGTTCTCATGACAGGTGCTCTCAAGTCCGGGGCCAGTGCTCTTGCAGTTCATCCCCTCCCCCTGCAAATTCCCAGAGCAAGTGGTTGCTCCAGTAAAGGCACTTACCACTGTTTACTCGTACTAGTCACTTCATAACAGAGTCACGCACCATTTATGAAGCCCTGTGCACCCACATCGGGCTATGCACATTGCATTTCTTATCGCATATGGCAGCCTTAAGAGGTGGGTACTGCTTATTGTCTCCTTTCTACAGATGCGGAAACTGAGGTCATCTGCCCAAGGTCACAGAGCTAGTAAGTGGCAGGCCTTCTAGAGTCCAAACCCTTCACATCAACCACAATCCACATGTGTGCGCCAGTGTTCTGTACATTCACCATGAAAAGCTTCAGTTTAAAACAATTTTTAAAAAATGTGAAGTGCTGTGATAGTCAAAATATTCAGTCCAGCCATGGGGGTCTGGCCCTTCCTTTCTGCCTTCCGTATTCCCGCCATCCAAAGTAAAATCAGTCCTCTCCTCCATGTGCAATATCAAACCTAATAACAACAATATTATTACTGTTATCGGGGACCTCCTATGAGCTAAGGTACTCCACATAGGCTCTTTTAGATCTTTATAAGAACCCTGCAAAGCAGAGTAGTGTCTCCCCACTTTAGGGATGGGGAAACCAGGGTACAGAGAGATTAAGGGACTCGCCTGGGGCCACACAGCTAGTAGAGCCAGAGTCTGGACGCAGTCCTATCTGGCTCCAAGATCTTCTGCCTTGCTTCCTCCTTTCGGAGGCGTCTCAGGGCTCAGACTTTCAGAGGTAACTTTTTTGTGACTCTCCCATCCCTCCCCCAGAAGTTAATGATCTGTAAGGCAAGTTTCTGAAAGTTCCAGCAAAGGCTTAATGTTTAAAAGAAACTTGCCCCCCAACCTTTTGAGATACAAATAATCACCTTCAGTTTACTCATTCAATTTGTTAGTTTACACTTAATTTAGGAGGATGGGGTGTCACATCTATATAGAGGCTTTAAAATACCACCTGTCCTAAAAGCACCAATAAGCAGATTCTCAGAAAGCTGGTAACATTATCACGACATTCGCATATCTGAGGGCACTTCTTGTTTCTCTGGATTCTGGTTGATTCAGCAAATATCTGTGGAGCTCCTGTGTGTGTCAGGCACCGGGGAGACAAAATGTAATACCACAGAGAAATTCCTGGTCAAGCTGGGCCAGGGGAGGGGCGGGCACATAGCCTTTCTGTATAAGCACTCCCGCTGAGGGTGGCATAAGGTGGGGGTATTAGCTCACAGGAACAGCGAGGTTGAAGTATGTGTTGGGTGGGAGGGGGCATCGCCACAGAGCTGGGTCTTGGAGCATGAGTAGGGATCAGCCAGTCAAAGGGGAGGGGGTAGAAGGCATGTCAGACAGAGATTAGCATAAACACAGGCATCCAGGTGTGAAGCTGCCTGGTTTCCATGTTACCAAGTGTAAGAATTGAAGTGGGAAAGGCAAGGGGAGGGCTGAGGCTGCAGAGCAGGGCGCTGTGGCCTGGCTGAGGGGCTGTGGGGCCGGGTGGAGAACTCGGACTCGCTCCTGTGAAGACAGAGTTTCTTCACACGGCATGTTTCTGGGCTGGGGAACTGCCTTCTGGCCTTACGCATCACACCCTGTCATTTCACTGCCATCTTTTGGAGAGAAATCGAGGAAGAACGTGAATTCACGGTAAGCAGCAATCACGTAGCCCTCTTCTTCCCTTGGAACAACGAGGGAACCCCGCCATCCCAAGAAGCCTCCCTCCACTTAGCCCGGATGAAAACACGAGCCTCACTCCTCCTCCCCACCCCCCTCCAAGCTGAACACTCAGCTCGCATGTGGAGCCGTGTGGGATGTGGAAATCAGGTTTCACTCAGCATGAAGGGATAGATGAGAACCATTCCTTCGCGGTTACATGGCAGAGCCAGGTTTGCGGGGGATGGGGCGGGAGGGACACCTCTGCTGGAGGAGCTTGTCCACTTTCCGCTTGCTCGTCTTGATCATGGGGCACATGGTTTGAGGAGCACGCGGTGGGGACGCTGCTCTCTGCCCCTTCACTCAGGCCTCATCGTTCCTTTGCAGCAGAGACCCAAAGGGGCGTTGGTGCTGCGGCCCCTGCCGGGAGCCCTCCCACGCCTTCTCAAGGGCTGGTCTGACCTGTGCCGGTAGGGACCCTCCTGGGACACTGGTGAATGGCGGACTCCGAGGTCTCACCCATGGAGATTCTGACTCCTTAGGTTGGAGCAAGGCCCAGGAGTCTGCTTTCTAAGAAACCACCCTATGGAGCCTGAGGCCCAGTCAGTTATGAGAAGCACAAGTCCTGGGGTTAAATCCCAAACTCCTTTGTATGACAGTGGCCCCCTCTGCCTCAGCGCTCACCACCCCGACAGCCTACGCTGCATGCCCGCCGTGTGTGGGATTGCTTCTAGTCCCCTTGACCGGGCACACGGGTTCACGTCTCCTTGTCTTTGCCCAAGCTTTCCTTCAGCCCAAAGCGCCCTGCTTCGCTCCACACACAGACCACGCGGGTTGTCTTCTAGTAGACGTTCCACACTCAGCTCCAATGTCACTTCCTCAGGGAGGCCCTCCTCGACACCCTGCACAGCCCTCCTGACTGGGCCAGAGCACTGAGCGCACTGGGTTGTCAACACCTGACACTTCACAGAACGCACCCTGACCCGTAGCTTTGTCCGTTGCCCCTAACATGCCCACCACGTAAAAGGGACTGACTAAATGCCGGACGGTTAAGTTAAGGGGAAAAAAATCCCTATCAGGTAAGGATGCCTAAGAGGAGAAGGGGCTGCTACTTGCTAAGAGGACTGAGGTCACTTCTAAAGGATTGGCTTCACTCACCCAGTGTGGCCAGCCCTGCCCCAGGGCCTGTGAGAAAGTCAGTCAGAGCGAGGCCAGGCCCAGCACCCAGGCCGCCCGACTGACTCCCAGTTACACCTGCTGCCCAGGCCCCTTGGCCCCTGCCCTTCCCCCCTCTCCCCCAAATGGCCATGGATCACAGGTAGTGGGGTGGGCCTTATACTTTAATTCTGAGTGAGCCTGGAAATTTGGAGATAAAATAGCTATCAGAAGAGAAAATGGGCGGGGAAGGGGAGAGAAGATGAGAGGAAGCATGCAAAGCAGGCTGGGAGAGGACCCCAGGAGACAGCTGGGCAACACGACAACTGGGCGCCCCCAGAGAGCAGCCACCTTATTTCTTTGTTATATGTTTCTGTACACACCAAACACACATTTACACACACACACACGTGAACACACGTATGCTGTGCTCTCCTATGCCACACCTGCTTGAACTAAGTTCCAACAAAAACAGAAGTGTGGTTCTTTCCTGGTCAGGGTTAGGGTCAACCTGCACCACTCCCCCAGCCTGGCAGGCAGGGACCTTCCCCAGAGATATGGACCCCAACCTCACTGCCTTTGATGCCACTCACCCCGCATCCACCCTGACTCTGCTAGACATCCGTTCCCAAGACAGAGTCCAAACTGTAGCTTTTAGTTCATAATCCTAATCGTGGAGAAATGACTGAGATTAGGAAAATATTTTAATCCTCTCCCTCCTACCCCACCATGCCTGCTCCGTGGGAGGCCATCATCAGTATGAGGAGAGCATGCCTGACTTGAACCTGCCTGTCAATAATCACTGTTACCTCGGCCAAATCAACTGTCTCATCTACAAAATAAGGGCCGATTCAGGGAGAAAAGTATTGGAGATGACAGACCTAAAGTTATGTTTGTGACAATTTTCCATTTTGAGAAAAGACTGAAAGTGCTTGGTACTACGCTGTTTTCCCGAAAATAAGACCTAGCCAGAAAATAAGCCGTAGCGTGATTTTAGGTGCCAAAATATGGCACCTGGGCATACTGAATATTTTAAACTGAAGGAGTTTGTGGAAAAGGAGTTTACTTCTCCTGTAAACAGGTCATAAAACCCTCATGTGAGGGGTCCGTGCCCTCCATTTCCTGGAGGAATCATGCTACGGCTTCTTCTCCCACTAGGTCTCATTTTCAGGGAAATAATAATGGTATATTAATGATTTGCTTCAAACATGAGAGACTAAGAAAAAATAGTATAATCCTCACACCAACAGTTCAATTAAAAATTACAATTATTTCAATGGAAGCTAAAAAGGTATATGGCAAAATTTAACAACATACCTATTATAGAAGCAGAGGCTTTCTTAACACGATAAAAATCTCTCTCTCAAATCCAACATCTAACAGCTAACATATTACAAAATGGTGAAACCTCAGGGTGGTCCTTTCAAAATTAGAGACTGAACAAGAAAGCTCTGTGTAACCATATTCATTTAGCAATGATCTGTAAGTTCTGCAACACATAATGATTAAAAAGGAGTATAATTATAACACATAGTTATTTTAAAGGAGTATAAAGTTCATCATACTTTGTAGATGATCCGCTTGTTTAGCAGTTAATTTGGTGGAGGCTCTAGCTCAGGCCTGCGTATGAGCTTGATGGAGTGAGAGGAGGGTCATGAGGGCCGTGGAGCTGCGTTTCACTTGTTGAAGGAGGTTTCACTCAGGATTGATGCGCCGGGAGCCTGGGCTGTGAACACCCCTCCCCACAGCGTTCCCCCCTCTGCCTTCCACAGGGACAGGAGTTAAACACGCGCCTCACACTGTGCTCCCGCTATGAAAGGCAGACACCAGCGTGTGCATTAGAGCAGCACCTCATACTCCTCAACACTCCCCAGGAACCCTCCAGGTCAGATTTCGCAGAGGAAGGAGCTAAGACTTAAGGGGGCCTAGGAATTTGCCCACAGGTAAAAGGCTGGTGGGTGACCCAGCCCGGAGCCCCGCTCCAGGCCTGGCAACGTTTCTGGCTGAAATAGCAGGGACTAGCTGGGTGACCCCCAAGAATGCTTCCCTCTCCAATCAGAGCCCCTGAACCCCGCTAATGCTCAAAGGGAAACAAGGCTGTTGCTGGGGGTGGCCACCTGGGGCATGAGGAACAGCTGCTTACCATGCCCCCTGCCCCATGATGGGTGTAGGTGGGGAGGAAGGAGGTCTGGCTGTGCCAGTGGAGGTCTAACCTGGCCAAGCACAATGGCTCAGCACCGAGTGGGGGAGGGTCTCCCCAGAGTTTCAGAAGCTGCTTTGGACAGAGGGGAAAGACAGTGCATCTCGGCTGCATGGAAGGTAGCATGATGACACCGGAAAGCCCCAGCTCTTCATTTTTGTCTTTTTCGTGTCCTTCCTCTGGATTGGGTGTCTGAGGCTCTCTGGGAAGGGAGCCAAACGCCTGTTTGTCTTGCCGTTGGCAGGCCCTTGAACACTGCCTCAAGCAAGTGGGGAAGTCAGCATGGAGCCCTGCTGACCCCTCACTTCTGGC